ATACTTTCTAATCATAAACAAAAATTATTTAACACATTATTGTTGAAAATTTTACACCATAATACAAATGAAGGACGAGAAAAAGGAAATCTAAACACAATACAGAGAAGAAGAAGAAGAAGAAAAAGGAATATGAATATGAATAAGTGTTATGAATATGAACAAGTTTTATGAATATGAACAAGTGTTATGAGGCAAATTTCATAGAATGAAGGCATAATTAATGTATTTTTGCTACTCATATTCATTTGCCTTTTAGTTGTAAGAGGCAAGTTTGTAGGTTTGATGAATACATGGAATAATTTGATACTTACCCCCAATTATAGAGTGCTCATATGAAAAAAAGCTTTTTTATTAAAACCAAATTGGGCATTATGTCATGCTACTACTAATAGTCTAATACGCAAGTCATGCGGTAATGTGCCTAGAAACCAGTGCTTCGCTTAAAATATCAGCTTTGATGAACAACGAAGCAGCAAAATCAAATTAGTCCTCAACTTTAAAACAAGACCAAGCCATGACTTTCTTAATTTCCATAACATTAGTCTATTCGCGTTCCCATTTGCTGTTGATAGTGACGATTTACTTACGATTTTTAGCAGCAACTTCTTGTTTATTAATCAACTGCTCAAAAATATGACATAGCAAGGAACGAAACGATATGAAAAAGTGAAGTCGCAATGACCAAAGCAGAAGCACAAAACTACTGGTAATCAAAATTATATACAGCCACCTTATCTTTTTGGAATATTTCAATAGCTGCTGGCTTAATAGAATAAGAATTTCTGTAATGACCTTCTGGGAAAGAACCGTAGTCTGAAGCTGCCTCGCAACATCCAATTTGATCACGTTGAAGAGTTTTTTAAACTCAATTCAACAGAGAAATGCTGCTCCTTTTTTTTTCAACCATAAGTTATCTAAGTTGTCTTGTTTCTGGTCATAGTTCGTATGATTCATGCACTCTTCTGTCGTCAAAGTAATATGAGCATACCCACATACTTTGGTACGCACGTGTAGTTGCTTTGGCACCTAGTGATAATGCTAAAAATAGACAACAGCAAAGAAGAAATGTCCCAAGTTCCGGCTTCCAAATCCGTCTCAATTGAATCAATAAATTGGCCTGCTGAATGTTCAAAGTTTCTCTAGTTTATTACTATTATACGCCAATATTCAAGTGGTAGGATATGGGCATAAGTTCTTTGGTAAAGTGCTTAATTAGATCCACTTGCATGGAGAAAATAATGCAGTATCAGCCAATACTTCTTCGGATCAAGAGTATCTGCAGGTGGTTTATACTATCTTGTTCAAACCTATTAATGTGAATTTAGTCCTCTATAGTGAAAAAGCAGGCCACCCTAATGTCGACAGTACAAGAGTTGTAGGTGATTCTTTTTTTTTTTCTTTTTTTTGTATTTTAGAAAAGTGTGTAACTTGAATAAATGGGGCAACCACACAAAATGGATTTTGAATATGAATTTTGTAATTGATGTTCCAAATGTAATTATTGACAACTATGTTTGTATCATTTTTCTACTCCTTTTCTTCAGTTGCAAAGGATCCTCTGTTACTAACAGGGGTTGGTCCGAGTGGTAAGCGGCTCGGATTCGCTTAAGCAGGTCTTGTGTTCGAGTCCTAGTGTATGCAGACACCCCTGTTGGGAGACTCTCCCATAATAGCCAGGTGCGCGACGCGGGTCGGGTCCGGATTAGTCGGAGCAAAAGTTTCGAATACCGGGCGGGCAACCAAAAAAAAAAAAGGGATCCTCTGTCTTATTTTTTATCTCACTTTCTGTCCCTTCTTTCATTATGTTATCATTTTTTTCTTTACAAACTTCCTATGTTAATTATTTTTTGTTTCTTTAAATTTCAGTAACTAATAACAGTGTAAAAAAGTAAATACAATAGACTAAAAAAATAGAGAAGAATGGAATTTTTATGAACTTTTTGTTGTATTTTTTTTTCGGTATTAGATAGTGTCATTTTACCCTGTTGTACTTTGACTTTACCTTGTTATTGGTTATTCAAACTTAAGAAGAGAAAAAAGAATTAAAATAGGATGTTTACGAAGAAAGTTAACAATTGAATGAAATATGGGACAAAAAGTGGGATAGAAGATCTTTTGGAGTCTTGAGATGCTATCACAAATTACATCCATATCAAGGGAGATTATGATTATATGTTACCGATAATAGAAAGGTAAGGCTAGAAGAGAATTAACTATGTTCCAATTGAACAAGTTTTTTTTTTTTTTTGGTAATTAACTTCTTACTATTTGACGACAAAGCTAAAAAATTTTCTAGTTTGTGAAAAAAAGTCTATTGCAGTCCAGCCTAAAACACAAATAGGGGACAAAATAGTAGTCATACATACATAGAGCTGCTACTGTTTTCCTCTTTCTTTTTCTCTATTCGGTGTGAAAAAGAATACATTAGATTTTTCAATCCAATTTAACTCTGCTTGATGTGATTGACGGACCCCTAAAATTTTTAATTATGATACACTTTCAATTGTTGATAATACAAAGTTCAGACTAGGGCAAGAAAATAATAAAAAAAAGGGGTTCAAATTTACTAAAGAAAAAGACATTAATCTGTTTAATAAGTGGGAAAAGTTTTTCAATCTCCTGTTCCAATCATATGTAGAAGCAGCAAAGATTATGAGGATAAGGTGTGGCTGGCTTTTAATAAAGAGATTTTTGCCCTTAATGGGAGACAAGAGTACATAAAAACAGAAGTTGGTCTACCACTATTTTTCCAACAGTGAGCGGTGCTCCAATGGACAAATAGTGAAAAAGGCGTACAAAACGTCTCAATCAGATTTAGCTAGCCATTCCCATTTGTACTTGGAGAAGAAAATACAAACCAATAAGGATTCAGATGTTTCGGATCAAATGATAGGGGATGCATACCAGTATGTAAGTTGATAACTTTATTCAACGGAGACACAAGGGTTTGGAAAAGTATACGCGGGAGAACAGCAACGACTCAGCCAAATGGGGTATTGATTTGGCCGATTACTGTATATTACGACATTGACTTCTTATGCTTAGGACTCATCCAAGAAAAACTTTGTTTTTGTTAATTCAATTGTCTAAATTCAACGAACCCGCTTAAGCGGCATGAAAGGAAGCTGGATTAACCTGAAACTTGCCTGTCTGCAGCTTGCATTGCACTTAGTTGATGGATCATAAACCAAAGAGAACAGTATGCGTGAGATTGAGTTCCACAAGAAATTTTTATAAACAAATGCTACAAATCCAATGTCTGTTTCGACAGAAACTACTGACCGACGTGATATCATTTAGAGTAAATATGGCGAGAAAGATTACTCAACTATTTAAAATTGCATCTTTTTTGCTCATTTTGTTAAGATAGCTAAAAAGCGACTATATGAGCAAATATGTTCCGTTTGGATTGCATTTTCCGTCATTTTTCATGGAAAAATTACTGTAACGATTTGATGTATGTGAGGAAAAAAGGTAATAGGGAAATGTGTTCACGGAAAATGACGAAATTTTTCTACGAAAAACAGCAATCCAAGCAAGGCCAGGTTTTCAACGGTGAAAATATCTAACAAAATTTGACGTCCATTGAAAAAGATTAAGAACCTTCTTAATTTTTAAACCTTATCAATTCTTCCTACATTGTGATTGTAATCTTTAACAGTAGTTTGGAATTTTTGGCCAAAATCCGGAAAGAATTAGTGAAGTTTAGAAAATCAAAAGGTCCTTAATCTTTTTTCTAATGCGCGTCAAAAATTGCGAGATATTTTTACCCTTAAAAGCCTAAGGGTACCACTTGTATCAATGCATTTCTGGCTATCTTAACATTAGAATTTATCGAAATGGATAAAAAAAAAACACTTTTACGAATTCCATGACGCATTTTTGCTAAAAAAAAAAAAAGAGGTTTGATGACAAAAAAAAATGCAATCTTAAATACTACATTTTTTTTTTTTTTTGTCATTTGCTCTATATGCTATTATAGCATAGCCCTATTTGGAATATAGATTTATACAAACTAATCTTATTCAATTCAACAGAGAGACCTTGGAGTTTTACATTTTTCAATTCTTTATTCCTAACTTATTGACTTTTTTTTTTTTGCTTTTTCACATAACCAAAAATTTTGTTACCAGTCAACGGACAAATAGTGCTGAACAAATATTAGTGTGAAAGTGCTTTACAAAATTTTTATATAGACAACCAATAGGCGGAGGCAAAAAGTCTCCAACAAATTACTTGACCTAATAAATTTATATAGATAACCAAAACAAAAAAAAAAAAAGAATGAATATACAAGCTAAAGTATATCATTATGTTCGTTAAATTAGTGTAGTACACCCCTGAAAGGATGAATGTATAGCACTAATACAGGCCATGAATGATATGGTACTTTTCTTGATAGGCTATAAACTATAATGTAAGTAACATATTAAGAGAATAGATGCTGTGCACTAATTGAACCATTAAGTGCATTTTTCTCTAGATAATTGTAGAGTTCAAATAAAAGGACTGAATCAAATATATTATCTACTTTTAGCTTTGAAAGCAATCAAAGACATTTCTGTAAATGTCTTGTCAATTAAAGGACAAAAGAAAAAGGGTTTCCACTTTCCCACAACCCTAAGCAAGAAAAGATTACATGAATGAAAATTCACTAATTAACTACTTGACATTAATAACATATACAGCCAACCCTATCAAACAAAGATCATTATTATTATCAAAAAAAAAAAAAAAAAAACATAGATCATTATTGGCGATATCTGCCTGCCAGACTCTTTCCAAGTGGAGACAAAAGTCGTTGCTTAGATAAGACTTCTTGGCGTCAAATTTTATCCTCAACTTCTCTTCTGTAGGACTTCATCAAAATCAATGATCAAATTTTGCACATGGTGGTAAGCCTTTTTTACTCAACTTGCTCACACAGGACTTTCCGAGAAACTCAATCCCATGCTTTAAAAAGTCCAAGAAAACCCAAACCCAAATTTGAATAGTATAGCAAGCATTGAACCCGAATAATTAAATGGTGATAGATTTTATCCAAGTTCATGTACTTAAACCTCTTTATAAACCCTTCATATCTTCACCCCACAAAATTCGTCCTCCTCCTGTTCTCTTCCCATAATAAGCTGCTCAACAATCTTTGAAACAAAAAAAAAAAAAAACCGACGTCTAAAACTACTACAAGCCTTTTTCCTAGCTAGTACGTGAAAAATGACATATGGAAATGGTGATCTTCAGGCAGACTTAGCTCTGCTTGAATCAATAAGGCAGCACTTGCTAGAAGAGTCCCAAGCTGCTGCTCCGGCATTGTGGTTTAACAATTCCCTGCCAGTATCTTATAGCGGAAGCAACCCTTCTGAGACCAGCTTCTTTCCTTCCTTCCCTGACGTCAACCCAGATGGATTCCAATTATACCAGAATTATGATTATGACAACATGGGTCTTTACCCTATGGTTCATGACGCGGTTAATAATCGGCGAGAACCATTGCTGTCCACCACCACGACCATGGCTACGACCATGACCACCACTACTGCTACTGGCGCAGTTAAGGTGGAGCATGAAGAAAGGATTGAGGTGTCACAAATGTCTAACGCTGCAACGGCACAGCCGGAGGCAAGGGTGGTGCCGCCTAAAGGGAAGCATTATAGGGGCGTGAGGAGACGGCCGTGGGGGAAGTTCGCAGCGGAGATAAGGGACCCCGCAAAAAACGGGGCCCGCGTGTGGCTGGGGACATTTGAGACCGCGGAGGATGCGGCAATAGCTTATGATCGGGCGGCGTATCGCATGCGCGGGGCACGTGCATTGTTGAATTTCCCACTGAGGATAAATTCAGGTGAGCCAGACCCGGTTAGAATTACGTCTAAGAGGTCATCTGTGTCGCCAGACCATTCGTCATCGTCGGCATCGGAAAATGGGACTCCCAAGAGGAAGAAGAAGGCGGCTGCGCAAGTGGTGGAGCCGCCAGCGGTGCAGAGGGGTTGGGAAGAGCTATATGTGGGCTCAAATTCAAATGGTGAACGAATATTCGGGACTGGCACTCAATTTGGATCCACATTATTGTAGCATACAAATACACTAATTTTTTTAATTGGCGAAAAATCAGAGCTCTATCTGTTCTATTTTTCCTTAATTTTTTTGGTTAATTTGGAGGGGGTAATAAATGGAATGCAAAAGGGGGCAATATCAGAACTGTAGGAGCTGTAATCATGTAAATAGTACATGATTTATTTGTATTTATTTTAGACAAAATTCTTTGTTAAATGGCCAATGGACTTAGCTAAAAAAAAGAAAAAGAATATAATTATTTTCAAGACGTTAAGTTTAAGTTAATGGTGCATTTATTGTTGTTTGAATTAATCTTATATACACTGATTATTGACGTTACATTTAAGTTAATGGTGCATTTATTGTTGTATCTACTTCTTGATTGGTAATCTTGTAATGGTTAACTTTACTTGAAGATTGGACATTAATAATTATTTGAATTAACGGTTTTGGATTTATTTATGATCATTGTAACGAATGTTATGATTTTCACCCCAGTATGAATGTCTTATCCCCAACTATCCAAATTGGTCATCTAGGAAACTCCTTTATACTGATTAGAAGCTACTTGTCAATATGTAAAATGAAATTTAGAATGAAAAAATTGATTTGTAGAAAATGAGTGGGATATTAAAATTTATCCTGTAAAGTTAATAGTGAAATGACACTTAATTTGGGATGATAAAATTGCAACTCTTAATTCTGCGCATAAAGAATCCAGGGAAGTCATATCAATTAAACCTGTTTCTTGGCGGAGGGAATACTACAAGTATATATGCTACTGAATTTGCCAAAAGTACCTACCCATATACATGAATTTGAGTACCGTTTGAAAAATGTATAGATTCTTGCTTTGGCGTGCAATCCTCATCATCATCCCTATATTCTTATATTCTGATATAACAATAATGTAAACTTCATATTGATTTTTTTTTTTTTTTTTTTTTTTTTTTTGTCGACGGAGTGGGTGTCCGGGTCAAGTCCTTAAAGGCGGCCCGACTAATCCCACTTCGGCCCGGTCCAGCGCCCCAACTTAGACCTAGCACGTTAAACGCACGGAGAAGCCGATGTTGCTGCGGAGGTTCGACCCCAGGACCTGACGGTCCCGAGGAAGAGGCGCCAACCACCAGCCCATTCACGTGGGGGCGTAAACTTCATATTGATGAGCTCTAAAAAAACTGCTTATTTGCAACTTTTGAGCAAGTTGTGGCTTTAAACATTCATTTTCGAGTTTCAAAAAAAAAAATAATAACATAACAAAGAGGCGGCAATTATAAGCAATGTCCTTCTGGAAGATTGACTCGTAAATGTTCTAGTAATCTATAAAATGTTGATAAGCTGAAACCCTAGATTTGCTGGCTAATTCAAGGTAACTAAAGCAGCAACCTGTTAAGAATTCGTTCATTTTTGTGTATCAGAACATGTTTGCATATTCAATTTCTTGGAGAAACAAATCAAAACCAATGAGTGCATTGATTCAAGATCTAGAAACCTACCCATGGAAGAGCTATCAAACTTTGCTTCAATTAATGACGCTTTCATTTGAAAAAAGAACTGTTCAGCTGCATGTGGGTATTACTCGAACGTGATTATTGGTTATGTACTGCAATCGTTATTATTACATTTACAAAAAAAAATTTGTTCATTTTTGTACACATGATTCTACATTCCACAAAATTTTTTCTTTATACACTGATAATATATACAACATCACTATTGGATACATGATAATTCATCTGAATTTAAATTTAAATTTTAAATTTTGCTCATTTATGATACATTCAATTATGATAGTGTATACACTATCATTATATATAAAATTTACTCTTTTTTTATATATAAGGAAAAAAAAAATTTCACAACCTTGCTTTATATACAACATATTGAGGTGCCATAGGAACATTCCAAACAAAGAATAGTCCAATGATTATTTTTAACTTGATCCTTACCAAAATCAAACTTTGCCCCGTAAACATTTGTCTTAGAATACATCCTAGTCCTTGCATTCTTCCTCTTATATAATCTAAGTTTTGCCTCCAAATCCTTTAATTGTGGGTTCATTGATACGGTTGATATGGTAGCCATGCATGGTTATTGAGAGGGATGTGGATTAGGGACAGAACTACATACGTCATATATGTCCTGACGAACTGCCCTCGTCAAAATGCAGACCAATTTTTCGAAAAATTTTTGCAGCAAGAACGAGATTTCTCCTTGCCATTTCCAATTTGACTCGCAGCAGCTTCTGAGGACCACATATGCCCATAATGCAAAGTTAAGAATGACAAAGTAATGGGGCCCTGATTGGAGTTAATTGTGAAGGCGTTTAGAATCCCTAGTCTTCGACTGCTCGTGACACACATGGGGCCGTGGTGCTAGCTACAGACAATTGTACGGTCTCTCAATATTTTGTCAACTTTGAAATTATTTTTTGAATTTGAATGTTGACCGAATATGTGTTGTTGATATTTCAACCCAATTATATATAGTTACTAGTAAATACAGCTCTAATATCGATGCATCAGAATTCAGAGCCTGCACCTTAGCTCCTACAGGTTTTCAGTCAAAAAGTGCAACTAGAATCATTCCGTTTGCTGACCTTCTTATTGTTTTCAAATATTCCTTTTTGCATCTATGTATTTAGTTTGGTTAGCACTTAGCTGGTGGTGCAAATAAATATTCAAGGCTCATAATTTACCCCCCGGAAGTAAAAGGGGTGGCAAAAAGAAGCTAGCTAAAATGGGGAAAGACGAGTTACTCGAACCAAAAGGGCAAAAAAAAAAAAAAAAAGAAGAAAGAAGACGAAATTGAATTGCAGGAATAATTATTTTCAAGCAATTGGTTGAAACATTAGAAATTAGAGGTTCTGGATTTAAATTTTCGTATTTTTCTCTGTTTCTTAAATTCCATCCCTTCCCTATTTTTTAAAAAGAAAAAAAAAAGCATTTCAAACAATTGTTTAGTTGCATTAGATGCACTTACTTATACATTTCAATAGTTGATATTCATCCTACTTTAAACAGTATATATGGTGAACATTTTTAGATATTAGTGTGTGCTTGAATTGAATGTGTATAAATTCATGCATCTCTATTTGATACCATATGAAATCTAAATCAATAGTCATTGCTTCTTTTTTTTTTTTTAATAAATAACAGGCAATAATTGACCAAACAAAATTAAGTGCACTAATTAACAGGCAATACTTGACCACAGCAAACTAACATAATAATACTTTATATTGTATACCCAGCCCCCTTGCCCGTCCAAACTTCTCCCCTGGCCCATTTCCATCCCTAATCTGTATTAAGACCAGTTCTTGGATTTGGTTATCGTGTTCCTTCATCTTTCATGGGCTAATACTACTTTGGATATCATGTCCTTTGCCCGCCCATGGTACTTCAGCATTAGAAACGCGGGCGGGGGACTCAGGAATAGAGTTGTACGAAAGGTGAGCGTCAAGAAAGCCCAATAAAACCAACACCGTATCTAGGATTTTTGTTCAATTATTCATTTCAATTAACTACTATTTAGGATGATTTCCCTGAAAGTAAACACGGTATTCTATGTTTATTTACTTACTCTTTTTTTTTTTTTGTTTGCAACTCGAGATTCTAAGTTTTACAAATGATAAAGGAAAAAAATAATGGTTTAATAATCAAATCAGTTAAACACTACAGTACATTCTCAATTTATTTGACCGGATTCATTTGTGCACGTACTCAAGAGAAATAAATTGACATGTGTACTCACGCTTGTATTAGTGTAATGTAACAAGTCATCGTCACTAATTAAGAAGCAAATTCCTGGCTGGACTCGGTCATTTTGGCCTTATTATAGGGATGTGATGCACATAAGCATATCTGAATCTTCTGATAAAAGGGGGTTTTTTTTTTCTGGATAAAACAAGAAGCTTTTATTAGTGAGATTGCTAGATATCGTCTGACACGATTTGCTTGACAAAATTTGGAAGGAAATTCTACAGAGTTTCTGAGAGATTGGTAGTTTTTGCATGATGAACTAAACAATGCGCAACCTTATTAGTCGCTCTTAGAACCCAAAGTACATTTAGAACATGTTGATCTAATAAAGTCAAGTGAATATCCTCAATTATTAGGGCTAAACTAGATAGAAGGTCCTCATTATCATTGATAAAATTAATAATAATTGAGGACGCGTCATCCTCTAAAATAAAACTTTGAATACTTGAGGGAAGAAAGGTTTTTGAAATTGACAGCAGACTTCGAGCTGGTTCAGGAGAGTCTATTCGTATTTGGGATGACAGTTGGCTCCTACAGCCACTAGCCAGAGTTATTCCGTGTCTATTCTCCCCCAACGCTGCTTGATAGGAATATTCGAGTTTCGAAATTTATTAATCATAAATGTCATTATTGGAATTCGACTCTGATTGATGCTATTTTCGGAAGAATGATACAGGCTTAATTGAGAGTATACCTCCCGCACAGGAAGATTTGGAAAAAGCTCCGAGGCCTTAAATATTCCAAGCAAAACAAAGCACCTGCTATGGAAAATCATCCACAATTCATTACCTTCCTATAATAATCTTCAAAAGCCAGGTATTCATGTGGCTAACTTCTGTCCCATCCATAATGGGTCTGGTGGAGACCGATATCATCTTTTTTTTTTTTTTTTTTCAAATTTCTTCAAATTTTCAATATCTTTTCATCAATATTATTTTTATTATTAAGTAAGAGAGGGAGATAAGATTTAAGAAGTTGAAATGAGAAAAAGAGGAAATTGAATCAAGACTCAGGAATTAAAGGTTTACAAATAGTGTTAAACTTACACCGCGCGACATTTTGAAAGAAAATTACTACATAGCATCTTGTTTTGAATACAGTGACAGATTCCCGGGCCCGGCATATGGTATCCAAAGGTAATTGCAGAATTCCAGGGAAATCTTGCCATGATATTCAAGGCAAGCAAATAGTTCAACATTACACGATACGGGCTTTAGTAGAATGATTTCTAAAACCTCAGGTAGATATTTGTGAATTGTGATCCTTACGAACCTCAGAAAAGGGCCAAATTCACTTTAGTAGTATGAAAGGCTATTGGCTTTTGCATTAGCACTTTCTCCTTTCTTTCATTCTTTCTTCAAAGCCAAAGACACAGCAAGAATTTATTTCTCAGTTTTGAACTTCCTATTGAGGAGCTGACATCAATTAAGCACATCTTCTTTGTTCACTTTTTCATTGCATCAAAGGATATATGCATCAAAAAACAAATAGTAACAGCCTAAAGCCATTAAGCAGGTCTACAATGTCCCCCCACAACCCTGATATTATGAG